TTTTTAAAAAGCAGAGACTCGTTCCCCGTCAATCATTATATCCACAGCCTACAACACCACCGACAGGATGTAAAGTCAGTATAACGAACAATAAAAATGTGTCGCAACGATGATCATCTTCATTTGTACAACCCCAGTGATTAAGCAACAGGAAGGGATTTAAGTAAATGCCAAGCAGTAAAAATGTTTTTAACCAGAATAAACTGTAACTTGGAAGCCAGTTTACTGTACTTCCACATGTCTGACCCATAAACATCATCTGCTAGTGTTTATATAAGTTTATATAAAACATACACTGCAGGACTGTGTGACCGCTCCTCCTTTTATTTTGCTTTGTGCTTTATCATCTTGGTAAGAAATTCCTTCTCTTCCAGTTTTTTCCCCCCTTCCTGATCCAGTTTTATTCAGTTTAAATCGTTTTGTTTTCCTTCGACTTTACACTTGTTACAGGCCACACACAAAACGTCTCTCTCACTCAAAGCAGGTACTAAAGAAAAATAAAAGGTTTTATGTCCTTGCTTGCAGACGCAGCCATCACACTCTCTGTTTCCTCATCAATAAAACATTACCACAAACAATGGAGGTTACGTGGTGCCAAGAGTCAACGCTGTAGATGTTTATCAGCTCAAATAATTTAAAGAAAACAATGAGGACAATAAATACAGAGCAGAACATCAGCACATCAATAAATGAAGAGATGTACAGAATCAGCTGGTATTAGTCTGAATGCATTTTTAATATCAGAGTCCTTCCCGTCTTTTTGTCCCCTAAAAACAAAAATAACACAGGCAGCAATGTCATACAGCGAGAACAAGCACTAACATGCTCACTTTTTCCTCTTGACAGCAAAGGATTTCATGGGAAAGGCGGTCCTTCTTTAGACAAAGACAGAACGTTCCATTTGTCTCATCCCTAAACCTCAGCTGGGTGATTGTTACGATGCTTTAACCTGCTAAAGTCGGGCTTTATTTATCGAAGAAACATAAACAACACCCTGCAAATACACTGCAACACGGGCATTAGGAGCACGACTGCGTTGCTCAACAACACCTTTGTGTCCACTAGTTGTAGACAGAAGGATCAGAGTATCTTGATATTAGTCTCAAACTAGTATTTAGACTAGCAACCCCTCCTACATCCAAACTCTCTTTTGCCTAACACTGGAGGCTCAGGAGTCCCTGAGCAACAGTTTACACAAGGATAAACAATTACAGCCGGGCTAATAAGTATGGCTTTTAAGGAGACTTGCTTGGCAACAAGTTCAAGTGTACACTAATGAGCAGTTAGGGACCTCAACAGCGCTTTGCATAGCCTCATGAGGGGAAAGAAAGGGAGGAAGTCTGAGGTGAAATACTATTAAAAAAGGCAGGAAATAAAATGCAAGAAAAAAAAAAAAAAGGCTCACAAACGTTTACTGCTTTCATCTGTTTAGGACACGAGCTGGAGTTTATTCAGTGATGTGTCATCACAGATAGTGTCAGCTAATGAATCAATGTAAAGGGCTGGCCAAAGATATTATCACAATGAAAAATGTCATATCATTCAATATCGACAATTACCACATTAAAGGTCAAATCATTATTTCTTTCAATGTTAAAAGGCAGATTTTTGCTCCCGAGTGAAAGTTAATTGTGGTTGTAAACTTTTCTTTATGGTCAGAACAAACACTTGATGACAAAGAAGTGGGTTACTTAACTAATCTGAGGTAGAACATTAAGAACAATTATCTTTTTTCAGCAAATTTGCATGAGTAAATATTAAGTAAAATCTTATTTTCAGTCCCTTTTCCTCAACAAAATAAATATCTTAATAGAAAAATTTGATCAATTAAATAAAAAATGTATTAAACATTTGTTATATTGTTATTGTTTTACTGCCCAGCCCTAATCAAAGATGAAACCAGCGGGGTTTTTTTGTGTAGAGTTAAATTAACCCGGTCCTACATACGAAAACCTCCCGATTTCCCCGGAGTCGGACACACAATTATATAATCGACCAAGAAGCAAAATCACTGCTGTCAGACGTAGCCTGCCTTAAACCTGCAACTCCAGTTTTGCTGATTGTCGTGTTTCTATTTGAACCAAATCCACACACACACACACACACACACACACACACACACACACACACACTCTTCTGGGTTATGATTTCCTTTCTCAAACCACCGTGTAATTTTAAAAATACATGACTGTCAAGTTAGAAACAAGGCTGTGTTTCTTCACCATCTCCTCACTCCTAAAGAGCTGACACAGTGGAAAACTCATGGATCAGCCCAACACAACTCACATCCACTGAGAGAAGACTTCCTTCCTGTTAGCAGCGTCTCGTCTCTCGCTGTCAACTAGAGGGGCGGGGCGTGAGGTTGGTGATGTCACAGTTACATCAGTAGTAGCCAGGCAGCTGATATCACTGTCTACAGCTTTTTTTCTAGAAGTCAACATCTGACATCGTCATTTTTTAAACGCACCAACTTGTCCTGAAAGTTTGAATGAATCCTCTTTTTGGTCTTAATTTGATTTCATGTTTAAACTGAAGAAATGGACAGATTTTTAGCTACGTCATGACCAGTCAGCAGTGACCAGGCAATATCTTGATATTACAATGTCCATTACGCTTTTGAATTTTTCTCAGATTTGCTTTTAATATGCTGGGAAAATGATGATCTGGACAGATAATCTGGAAGGGTCTTGAAGTTACATCAGTGGAGAGGAAGCACCACAATGCTCACACTTATCTCTTTGCAAACGCAGTGTGTAAACTGTGTAAGTAAACAATTTAGACTCTCAGAATGTTTGTATGGAAACAACTGGAGGAACAGACTGCACCAGCTTGAGGTCTGGGTATCTTTTCTGTTTAGATGAGGGAAGGCAGACCCATAAAAATAATGTGATTAGACAATATCAGCAGTTGGCAGTCGGATTATGTCTCTGGCTAACGTCGCCATGAATATTTTATCATGCTTTAGATAACTTCTGGAGGAACATGCTGTTTTTCATTCCTGCAAACAAATGCTGCTGCGTCTTCAAGAAATCCCTTTAAGAAGAACCTGAGTAAGATTTAAACTCCTCCACAGCAATGGTTGACTATAATACATGGGCATGAGGTTAATGGGGTTGTTAATCAATACCAATAGCTCAGCAATAACCTTGCCAGGAGCTGCAGCCTTTAGAAAGCAAATGCTAAAAACCTCTTTTCTCAAGCCAAAAATGCAAATTACCAAACTGTCTTTATCTCTCTAGTCTGCATGCTAATATACACTGGATGTTTCTGTTGGCTCTCTGCTCTAATTAGCTAACTTCAGCTACCTTAATCTCCACAGTGAATTGCAGAGGTCGACTCGACACGAGCAAAGGCTGCGTCAATTATTAATGCGAGATAAATCTCTTCTCTGTGCGGTGAAAAGTTATATCCGGACCATTAAGAGTTTGTTGTACTAAGAGAAAAAAGTCGAGTCATTGACGTCTAGACGACATCATCAGTAACCGGGCAGCGCTGGTGCAGGAACTAAAATTTACAGATGTCACAGATTAGAGGAACCCGCCCACAAACACTACTAGTACAGTAACTCAATTTAATGGTTGTTTGTATGTTCTGATGTGAAGTCATACCAAAACCACATTAAATTAAGATGGTAGAGGATGTTTCCAATTGGACTGTGGAAATAAGCTGTTCTCACATGTTGTTCTGCTTAAATATTCTGCCATGAAAATCACCGCCAAAGAAATGACGCTTAAAGAATACTCCTGGGCCATGAATCACAACCTTGGTTCCCTTACCGCTCTGTTGTTGACTGTTAAAGCCACAGAGATTAACATGGGAAGGGGGGGAAACCGGTTGGTGGCTTCAAATCCTTCAGTTCAAACTGAACCACGTTTTATAATGTTTAAAGAAATCTTTATTGCTACCCTAGAAGTCAATTTGAGACTAATACAAACAAGGTGCCCATTTATGTGTGACAGGTTTTGGGGATTTAAAAGTTGTAGTCAAATACAGTATAAGATATTATATTGCCTATGATAGCAGATAGATAAGATCTTTATGATTATATGATGGGTCTTAAGAGCGCAAACAAATTAAAGGACAGTCTCTGTTTACGAACGCAGTCCAGTTGTGAGTTGTAAAACCAAAGCACCATGTGCTGTAAAATGAACCGCACTCGTTTCTAAGACAATATACTGGCCAAACATACCTGTCACCGCAAGGATCAAAAGTTACACCACTGGAGGTAAGATTTTACTTTTTGTTTTAGGCATTAGAGAGCAGACAGGAAATGAGAGGATATAAAAAGGTAAATCAGGTATGAAATGCCACAAAGATCCCCGGGGATGTTGCAATTACACGGTCGGTGCCTTAAACCTCTAGATGGATTTAAAATGGCTGAAATTATGATTTTTTTCTTGTAGACACTCCTAATGTCACTACAAGGTTTAATTTATTTAAACATTTGAATGAACATATATTAAAGATTTCTACAAGGTCTTAAAACCAGTTTCATTATGTTTTTACTGCAACATTTTTAAAACCACAGAAATATTTCCATTTCTGTGCTTGCACACTTGGGCTGCAACTAATGATTATTTTCACTGAATATCATATTATCTATTAATCAATTAGTTGTTTGGTCTATAAAATGTCAGAAAATGGTGAAAAATGTTGATCAGTGTTTCCCAAAGCTCAAGAAGGCGTCCTCAAATGTCTTGTTTTGTCCGCAACCCAAATGTATTCAGTCTACTGTCACAGAGGAGTAAAGAAGTCAAAAAATGTTCACATTTAAGAAGCTGAAATCAGAGAAGTTTTGACATTTTTTCATAGGCAAAATGACTTAGAACGATTTCTAGATTATCAAAATAGTTGGTGATTAATTAGTCGACTTATCGTTGCAGCTCTATTGCATCCTATCCTGAATGGCCTCAAAAACTTCTTCATGCATAAAGCTTCATTTTCTCTGTCATCCAGCTCCAACTGGACCCTGTCTTAAAACAATATGTGTGTGCAATTGCCTGAGCTGAGAGGGGGGTCGTCGTCCGTGGAGGAAAAGTCCAGAGTTGCTCCTGCAATGTCCACCAGATCGTCATCATCATCATCACTGGGGCGATGAAGACCGTCAAAGCTCCCGGTGCTATATCCGGAGTTATCCATCTCTTCAAATCCTGTTAGCAAAACAACAAGAGTAGAGAGAAAGAGGGAGGGAGAGAGAGAGAGTCCGTTAATCAAACAGCGACAGACTGCAGGATTTTAACCACTGCAGCATGAACATCAGCTTTTTACCGCTGTCACTCCTGGCTGCATATTTTCGATACAAGCTCGTCCAAAACTGAGACATTCTATAAATGAAAGACAGCGGGGTATAATGAAATACCAGCCTCCCTATCTTCCCCCCCTTCAACTGTGATTTCATGAAACAAATTCAGGGAAGTGTTGGTGTTGCTGCTGAGAAAAAAAGACCGGTCCTAGTCTCACCCGGCTCATCATCACAGCGCATCTCCAGTTACATTTCCGCTGTTTTAGTCTTCCTTTAACTCTGTGGTTACAACTGAAACAATCGCGTCATGGTTTCAAAACACACAGCAGCCGACGAAAAGCAGATTATTAGCCCGGACTTTGGCCTAGCCTGTTAGCCGTTAGTGTTTTAGACGAGGACCAACCGGTGTGACAAACTGACAAAAATACAACCGTTGAGCTAACTTAACGCTGGTTTAAATGTCGCCGCGCTCAGCTCACTCCCATTTAACGCGTATTTCTCTGAATAAAGAAGATAAAAATGCAAACTTAAAGCCTGACTTTACCCGTGAAGAGAGAAAGTAGTCGCCCAGTTCCCTGAAGAAGTCTTGTGACTCGGATTTGCCCCGCCGCCGTCTTCTTCTGAGGGCTGCTTATGTCAACACAGCCCGTGTAAAACTTAACGCTCCGCAGCGGCTGCCCCGTGAAAATCCTGCGTCACTCTCCGTCCTAAAAAAACGACTGTTTTAAAACGCTAAAAGTGTGCGATATGAGGCCATAGTCGACCATTATCTTCGTTAGATAACCAAAATGTTAAAATAGTGTGAACTTGTCAGCAGTACGTGTTATTTTGTGCCGCTTTAAACTGAAAAAGTCAAGGTAGATGAAATTATCTACAACTTCCGTTCAGGGCAGGCAGTTGGTAACGTATAGCTGCCGTACAGAATCCTCACATTTTACGATTTTACTGTCCAAATTAATCGCATCCACATTTTAAATTATATGACATCTATGTTCCGCATATTACATTTAAGCGTTCCTCCTTTTGCGAGATATCAATGTGTGTCGCTTTATTTTGAAGGCGTAATCACTCAAGTTCCGGTTTAACCCTAACCCTTTTATAGCTGCCTTGACATGTCCATCTGCACGCCAGGAAAACCAGTCGAGACAAGAGCTATCGACGCTTCTCCAGTGAAGCAGGGTTCAGTTATGCAGTTCGACTAATCGGTCATCTATATTCCACTCTGGCCTTAAACTCTGCTATGTTGTTTCCTCTGCATAATATTTAATATGTGGCTGATATAATCCATATTTAGTAGTATATGTTACTACTGTTGTTACCAGCCAAAACATTGCATTTGGGCTTCAGTGCATTGCTCAGTAGCTCATCCGTAGCATACAGTTTAGAGTAGGGCTTTGAAATAAAACAATAATGATAATTATCGAAATATAATTTTCCTCAACAACAATATAAGAACTGTTCAATAAATGTTTGATTTAATTTGAATTGCGAATGAATCAGCACTTATTCGCTATATTAAAATATTTATTTTGTTGAGGAAAAGGGACCAAAAAAAGGTTTACTTCATTTTTCCAGTGCATATTTGTTGAAAAAAGATTGTAAAGAAAATATATACCTTTATTAGTCCCACTTAGGGGGGAAATTGCGTTTGGCACAGCAGCACAGAGGGGGTCCTAATATATATAATATATATGTATAATCATCATAATTGGTTTGAATGTTCTGACCATATAGAAAAGTTTAAAACCACAATTAACCATCTGATTTCTTCCCTCGTGAGCAAAAATCAGCATTTAAACTTGAAAGAAATAATGATTTGACATTTGCCTCACAGCAAGAAGGTTGTGGGTTCAAGTCCCGGTTGCCCCGGTCTTTCTGTGTGGAGTTTGCATATTCTCCCCTTGTCCGCGTGGGTTCTCTCCAGGTGCTCCGGCTTCCTCCTGCTGTCCAAAGACATGCGGCCTAGGTTGATTGGTGACCCTGAATTGTCAACACATGTGAGTGTGACTGGTTGTTTGTCTATGTGTGGCCATGCAATGGACTGGCGACCCCTGCCTTTTGCCCGATGTCAGCTCGGGAATAATCCAAAAAGCTGATGAACCTTGTTGTATGAAGGTTATAGAATTGTTATTTAATGATGTTGGGTGTGAGGAAGAATGCAAGTAGAAAATATATTTTTTAAATCGATTCATATTGGTAATTAGATTTGGAAGAAGCCAAAAGTTAGAAAAAGGGTTTAATCAAAACTTGCTTAGTGCTGGAAATTGTGTGAAATGTAATGCTCAGGAGTAATGTGGTATCTTATCACTAAGGCTGCAACTAAAAATTATTTTTCATTGCCAATTAAATCTTTCGATTATTTTCTTGATTAACTGATTAGTTGTTTGGTCTATTAAATGTCAGGAAAGTGTTGATCAGTGTTTCCCAAAACCGAGATTACGTCCTCAAATCAGTCCGTAAGGAATAGGCTGGGAACCGGAGGGCCGCCGGTTCGAATGCCAGTTCACCTCCTGGGCACTGCCTTAAGCAGGCCCCTGAACCCCCATCTGCCCCTCACTCTGACATCTCTCTGTGTTGCTATGGGTCCTGTTTGTGCATGTGTCTTTCGGACCTGTGTGTAAATAACAAGAGTTCAAGGGGATTCAAAATCAGTTAAAGGCCGACACCTTGTGGTCAACTGTAAGAAATGAATCAGGGCTCCAGTAGAGTGAGTGTGGAGCATTTATTTAGAGAGTGTGTGTGTGTGTGTGTGTGTGCGTGTGTGTGCGTGTGTGCGTGTGTGTGCGTGTGTGTGTGTAGACCCCGACATACATTTACTCAAGTACTGTACTTAACAAATTTGAGGTACTTGAAATTCACTTTAGTATTTCCATTTTATGCAACTTTATACTTCTACTCCACTACATCTTACAGGCAAATATCTTACTTTTTACTCCACCACATTCGTATAGCAGCTTTAGTTATAGTTACTTTTCAGATTTCAGTTTTTTAAACCATTCCTGTCCAGTGAAATGCCACAAACATATGATCATCTTACAGACCATGATGCTTTGCTGTAAATTAAACTACCCAACAGGATATAAAGGAATTAAAATGAACTCAACTTTAAACATCTACAGCTGTAAAATGCAACATACATTAAAGCAGCAGGAATATTAATCCAGAAACATCAGATATAATAGTGAAACACTGTGAATGAGTGCTTTTACTTTTGATACTTCTTTTGTTTTTTTTTTAAATCAAGGGCTTTTACTTGTAGTGGAGTATTTTCACAGTGTGGTTTTAGTATATTTACTGAAGTAAAGGATCTGGATATCTCCAAAACTGGTGAGGCGTTTATGGTATCCTGGTCTGTAGCTCTCTGATTAATTATTGCTACCTCTTTTCCTTCATTACTTCCCATGATGTCTTGTTTCTCTCTGCACACCTCCCACTCATTCATCTTCTTTTCCTGCACTCCACCACTCTGCCCCTCGCAGCCCAACATAAACACATCCCCACCCTACCTCCCACAGCGTTTCTTGCCTTAGTGGGCCTGTTTCTCTTCACTTCCTTCTCTCCCCTTAATATAAACTCAAACATTCAAGTTCATCTTTGTTGAAGTGACCTTGTAATAATTAACTTTCTATCTGTTCCCTCCATCAGTTTGTAACTCATTCATTCCCATTTTAGCCACTTAGTTGCTTTAATTCCCCTCATTTTCTTAGATTTGGATCACTTTGCTCACTGAACTCATTTACGCCCCCATGTTTCGTCTCCCATCCTTCTTTTCCTCTTGTTCCAGCTCTCCTTTCATTCCCACCAGTCCTCTGTGTTTCAATCTGGGTCAGGCAGAAGAATGCACTCCCTCGTTGCCCCAAAAACACAGATTCTTCACTTTTACAACAGCTGTTTTCTTTATTATTTTCCCTAACCCCCACCTCTCTGTCTCTGTGAGGACAAACAATCCACCTAAAACACTCTCTTCATCCTAGTTTTCATTTTTTATGAACTGCTCCAGTACCACTCAGTTGAAAGATCCACAAATACCGCCGTCCCTTTTATCCCAAGAGGAGGATAGGAAAGTATTTCAGGGTGGGATGTAAAGAAAATACATTTATCAAACCACAAACAGGCTTTTATCACATTTCTGATTGTGAAAAATGAAAGTTTCTTTAAAAGTAATAAATATTTTCTGGCCCCCAGATTCCTCCCAACAACTGATTAATCATCTTTTGCTGGCATCACGTTACAGAGGAAAGCTCATTCTTGCCAAGAAAATAACATAAAACATGTGAAAAGGTACCAGTGATAAAGATATTAATGGTAGGTGAAAATAAAGAGATGCTATGTCTGCATTTTAGCTTAATCTGTGCACAGTTGAACAGCCTGTCCCAGCATGAGAGGTACACCCAAACACCCCATGTCCTATTGAACGGTTAGTATCATGAACACCGCTGCACAAATCCGTACAACATTAATGTTGTCAATGAGAGCTAAGCTGGTATTGGGATATGGTGCTGAACCTAAGCCGTGTTTACCGGCTTCTCACTGACCTGTCCTACTCTGCTTCTGATTGGCTAGTAAATCCTTAACTAGGAACTGTGCATGTGCAACTCCCAACAAAGATCATTTAGAGACAAGATGTATCACTCCATATCTAAAGCGGAGCCTTCAACACATAGGGTGAAAAGAGAAGCTGCAGCAATGTGCAGTATGAAAAGAAATATGGTGTTTTTGAAAATTAAACCATGTAAACCTGTTCTGGTACAACCCCTAAATAAGATTTTGAACCTGAAAATGAGCATAATATCACTTCAAAACTTGTCCTTTATCATTTCAACATTTAAAATTTTTTTCTCTATTATAATTTTAAAACAGAAAGTAAAGATTTCAACTTACTCTTATATATAAAAATATTGCATCTTTTATTTATGGATATTTTTTCTCCTCAATTTTAAATTCACACATTTTTTTAAATTATAGTTTTGTCTCATAGGTCTTTACAAATATGTGTGACATATGACATTGTCCATCGTAAGAACCACGATTTAGATACCTTCAGGATCATATAACTGGCAAAAAGTAGTCTGAAGTTAGTTAGCAGTTAGTCTGAAGTAAATTATTTAAAATTGTAACTGACCATTTTTAATTTTTCCTAGTAGGAATGGGCAACTATACAAATGAGTGCAAGTACAATCTTAGCACATTGGAGGCACTGTTTCTGAAGGTATTACAGTTCTGGAAGTACTTTTATTTATTCTTATTACTGTATGTACTGATATCTTTAGTATTTTGCTAACTTAACTTAACTCTGAGGGAGCACTGAAGGGAGGGATTTCCACCACAGTGAAACAAGTTTTCCCCAGAGGAGAATACATTTTGGCACCAGACACTGAAGCGGCATAAAGAGACCGTTCACCCATGAGGACATAAATCACAACAGGAGATGCAAAAGCTAGTTTAAAATACTATTATTATTATTTATGGTACTTTTCCTCAAGAGTGTTCACGCAGTTACACAATTTGTAATGCACTTTTACACACAAAAAAGGGTTTTGTAATAAATCAAAATTACATAGGAAAACATGAACAGAAGAAATATACTCTCTTACTGGTCCAACAAGCAACTCTTGGTCCTCTCTTGTCAAGTCGATAAGTGTTATAAAAATGGCTGTATTAGTACAAGAATACACAAAACATGTACAACAGAGAGCAAGTGTGTGTGGACATCTTAAATTCAGGGTTGTTTGGTAATAAAACAGCATGAATCGTCTGAGAGAAACTAAGGAAATGAGGAAAAACAAGTGTAAAACTGTAACTTTTAATAAACTTTAAACTGCAGATTTGCTGCTTATTACCAGAGCAAGAGTTAACCGGTGAAACTGATTAAGTATTAGAAGTGTCTGTATTTTCACTCAACAGCCAAAATATACACATTTCCTCTTCCAAATCCCTCTAATCTCTTGTTGAGCTGCAGTTTTTGTTTGTTCTTTCTGTATTTGATTTACTCAGAAAAGCAAGCAGTGCTAAACTGTGTAAAACCTGTCCAAAGGTTAGGATACCAGTTAAAGTGTGGGAGACTTTTTGGCAAGATCACAAATCACAAGATAAATGCAGGAAACAGCAAAAAGCAGGTGTCTGTTATTTAAGATTTGTGATGGTGGATTATTAACTTTACAAGCAGGAATGTGTTTAAATCCTGTGTTTCAGTACAGTCAATGTGTCACAAATTAGGAAAATCTATGTGTTTGGCACTTCAAACTATAAGTCGTAAAGGAATAGTTTGACGTTTTGGGGAAATGCACTTATTTGTACTCTTGCAGAGATTTAGATGAGAACATTTGATACAACTTAGCTTAGCATTAAGACTGGAAACAGAGGGGGGAAAACTAGCCTGGCTGCAAAGGTTAGCATCCACCTACATGTACCAGCACCTCTTTTAGCTCTAGCTCACCATTTAACATCTCGTTTGTTTAATTTATACAAAAACTAAAGTCTACAGCTAACCTGCTGCTGTGTTGTTGTGTTAATAATGCTGCAAATGACCACAATATTTAAGTGATGTTAATAGAAACAAGTGTAAAAACAACAGAGGGCTGGCTGTTCATGACAAAAAGGCTAGCTTAAACTGCTAGCCTGCCACTTACACTTTTGTTTTTGTACGGATTAAACAAGCAAGATACAACGTGTTAATTTGGGAGCTTTAGAGGTGCTGGTGGATTTTGTTGACTTTGGACAGAGCCAGGCTTTCCAATTTTTATGCTAAGCTAAGCTAACCGGCTGCTTGCTGTAGCCATATACTCACCGTACAGACTGGTGTCAATCTTCCCATCTAACTCTCAACAGGAATGCTAATAAGCGTTCTTTAAAGTACTGTAAATATTAAAGACACACATTAAATGTCAACTTGGCAAACAACATTTTGAAAACAAGCTCACAAAAAAAAAAAAAAAAAACTGCAACTCTGGCTTCCTGTCAAACCGAACTCTCCATGAGATTCATTCCCCATCAAAATATACAGTAAACGTTGATTCTTCCCGGTCTTTTCGTTCATCTTTTACAACCAATTTTTTTACAACCAATTCCAGTCTTTTCATTACATCACAATCACTATATACACATCGTATACATTATGAACACAAGTGTCTTCTGTACATAACAGTTATTATGTGACAGTATAAGGAGTCGGTGGAGTGTCAAACCCCACACAGTGAAACAGCCACAGACATTACAGTAACAGGAATACAAAGTGATATGATGATATAACAGTAGATAATACAGTATATGTATCACTGAAGGCAAGTGTCAGCCAGCAACAAAGGTGAACACAAAAAGAGAAGTTACACGGTTAGTGAACTTCCAAAAGGCAGTTAATAACGCAGCAAATGGCATCTGACAATATTGACTTTAGTGTTGTTAACAGAAAACACAGTTTCTTTTAGTTTGAAGCACCAGAAAAAAATGTCTCCTTCAATTCTCTGAACCAGGAGATTTAAATACAAAAGAAGAAAACATACAAAATAAAGCAGCGTCTGAGTGACACATTCATTAAGCGAAAATGTCTTTGGCAAACGTAGTGTGATACTGGTTAGAATAATTGTAGTGTAAGTACAGTATGTGTTTCCGGCACATCATGTGAGGCAGAGAGTATAAAGTCCTTCCTTTGGCCACAGAAAGTAAAATGTGGTTATCAGGCTTTATTTTTACATTCTTAGTTAAGTGATAACCTCATCATGAGTCCTCGCTCGAGTTTCAGTCTTTCGCTTGGGTGAAATTAGGGGAAAACATCCTCTTGTTGTCCTATGTTCACAAACAAAGGCTTCAGTATTGTCCAAATCCATTGTCCTCTAACCATCAACGTGCTCTCGGCTTTCGATACGTTTCTGGTGTATTTCTGAAGACGGTAGTTTTCGGGGGTTCTGTGAGCCCACGCTCAACTTTCTTCCTGGGCTTTAGCACTCAAGTCCAGTCTGTTTTTCTGTTTGACACCTTGGACAAGTGCCTCGGTTCTGGTCTTCATTGAGTGTTGGAGTCAAATTTTCCCTACTTGCCTACCCACAACAGCTTCCAGGGTTTTTGAGCTGTTAGTTTGGTCCTTGAGCTTCTGGATCTACAGGTCTGATGATCCTTAAAGGATTTGTTTGACATTCTGGAAGATTAAATATGAAGCTACAGACAGGCAATGCTTAGCTTAGTTTAGCACAAACACTCCAGGAAGTCAACATAACAGTTGTGAGTTTTAGAGGTTTGGCAGGCAGATTATGTTACTTCTGGACGGAGCCAGTGAACTGAGAGTGGTATCAATATTTATCATCTAACGAGTGGCAAGTAAGTGCACAAGCATATTTTCCGAAACGTGAAATGATTCCCTTAAGAAACTCTGTAAATAAATGTTTTTACAATCATGTACACTGCATGTTTACTACCTCTTTCAAATCTTAAACTGGACTCGAGTCATTGTTTTGTCTCGATCCTCTTTGCCTCTTGACTTGTCGCCTTGAAACTGACTCAGACTTAACGCGACTCCAAGCCCTGCTCCTTCATCTCTTTAGTGTTTGTTTTTTTAATAATGTCCGTATCCCATCGACATTCCTATTCCAATTCCCAGCCCCAACCCCAGGCTCTCCCTTAGCCCCCTCAGCTGCTCCTCTCCCAGCCGGATCTTGTCCTCCAGCTGCCTCTGCTCCACCAGCAGGGCGGCCTTCATCTTCACATAGTGGCTATGAAGGAAAAAACAGACATTTTAAAAATGTACACTAATAAAACATGTAACTTGGATCAATCTTGAATTGTAAACCTTTGTAACTTTATATTTTGTTTTAGCTTTTTCTTTATGTGTATGTTATTATGTTTTATTGTGTTGAATGTTATCCTGTCTGTGTACAATGTGAGCTCCAGAAGTAACAATGTTTCTTATAATGGCAAAAAAATAACTCTTTTAATATATCACGACTTTGAATATATTGCAGTTTAGTTTATTTAGTTTCTTGTTCCCTGTGACAAAATCTGCAACCCTCTGAGCCAAATTTTGTATACTTTCCTAATTTTGTGGCCAATAAAACATTTGCTTCTTTGTTGATGTCTTTGTGTTAATATGTCTGAATAAGTGTTACCTGTTTACAAAAACACAAATTTTTCAGACTAGAGCTTAATGGATATAAATGCTGGTGTATCAAATGTAAGCTGCATAGACCAAAAAGCTAGGAATTACATAAATATCCGGCAGTGTGAAGTAAATTAATTAACTGTATTTAGTTTGTGTTATCCTGCTATGGTGCACTCAAGAGACACATTTCCACTACAGTGGATGATAAAGTTGTACTGTACCTGTAGTCTCTGTGGTGCTCAGGGGAGAGGCAGCGGGCCAGCACCCGGCTGACGGCCTGCTCTCTGCGGTCAACGTGGTCCTTCAGGTCCTGAGCCTCAGACAGCTGCCTCATGAGCTGACGCTTCTTCTCCAGCAGGGGGAGCTGGAGGGCAGAGAGAAGGGAGGACAGCGGACAGAGATACAGAGATAAGAGTGGGAGTTATGGGACTACATTTAGTACATTTGCCGATTTGTCAAACAACCCAGTTATTATTTTAATCCCTCCTATTAGCCATCCTTCTTACTTTTCATCTTTCTGAATGCTTTTTTGTATTTCACCTTTTCTTTTCCTTCTTCCTGTCTGAATCTAGCTAATGTAACAGTGACTAAATGTACCAAATAGTTTAACAACAGATGCTATCTTGCCGTCTTTATCTCACTTGTGAAGCTCAGCTGTGTTGATGTACTATTAAGACATCATGCTGCAACAAAGGCTGAATATGATTTACATCCTTTAACTCGATGTTCTATCATCTAAAATGTTTAATACACATTCCTAGTGCATTCATCAAATTCGACAGACACTTCACCCCCTGCTGCCCTTTCTCTGGCTCTGCTCACCCTCTCATGGTGCTCTGTCTCGGGGTCCAGTGTGTCTAGTGTGGTCTCAACTCTCAGCAGCCTCCCAGACAGCGACAGCAGCAGGCTGACCACCTTGTCCAGATCACCGATGAACATGCGGAACTTGTCCACCTCATTGGGCTTACACACCGCCACCACCATACTCTCCACCTGAGGACGCAGGCAGGCACAGCACAGCTGAGTTCAAGGAAAAATTTGGGATGTCCCGATTGGCCTTTTTTGGGCCCCGATCTGATACCTATAACAATGGGTATCTGCAGGCAGGGTCCAATACTTATATTTACTTAAATGTAGATTAAATATGTATCTGACACATTTGAATAACAGCTGTAACGTACTAAAGCTGACATACCTTGCGTTTTATGATCTACTTGCTCCAAATACTTAAGTCCAGCTTTCAAAATATTAAGTTTATAAGTTTAAATTATTGATTTCAAATAGAAACTATGAGTGAATACATATTAAAGTGTCAGGAACACACTACTTTCTCCTGATGGCACCATTTTGCATCCCTTCATAGCAAAGCATCTGATGTATGAATTAATGTGGGAACACAAAATGGTGCAAAAGTCAAAATGAGTAAGAATGAATAAGTGTGACAGAGTTAAGGAAGGAGACTGATTAAAGCTCAAGTTTACAGGACCAATGTCCAAAATGTAAATATTTGCTGGTTTTGCTTCTTCGTTTTTACTATTGGTCGGACAAAACAAGAAACTTAAATATGCCAACTTGGGAGAAAATATGATGGGCTTTCTTATTTTTATATATTTATGGATTCATTAAGGATCAATCAATCATGACAAAAATCATCAGCAGCCCTAGGGAAGATCATTCCTTAAAATTTAGTTAACATTAAGTGCACATAATTGCACAAGTGACTGACACAGTGGCCATTTTGCATCCATCAAGGGGAAGCAAATTAGTAAATGGTGCAACAAACAACTACACTTTTGCTCAAAAGACTGGCGACAATTTTGAAAATAACTAATTTCAGTTTCTGTGTGAACATTTTGGGGGTTTTCAAAGCAATTTTAAAATATCAGCGCTGACTCACCAGATCTCTTTTCTGACATTAAATGGTGAATCAAAATCATAATTACTGGTTTATCTAAAGCAAAACCATGATTAGTTCCAGCTCAAATTAAGTGCTTAAATAAAGTAAAAACCAATTCTTTAAAATATAATCAATTATACGTTAGTTGATGGTGAGCTCCCATAACCAGTTTTGGGAGACACAATGGCACGAGTAAAAGCCAGTCAGTGACAAAACGAAAAGATGAATGAACGTGAGGATGATATTTTTCCCCACCTCCTCTCCCAGCTGTGCGTTGGCTCTGATGTCGTCCTGCAGTCCCCTCTGAGCTTCTCTCAGCACTCCCAGCTTCTTACGGAGGCTTTCCATCAGCTGTTTCTGCACAACAAAAGGAAAACTGTATAAAAACCTCAAAAATTGAAAGAACAGGCAACACGTCTCTCAACTTCCAATCATCATCATGTTAACTTTGACTGGAAAACACTAAAAAAAAACACAGCACACATAAAATGCTGATTTTCCCACACTGCCAGTTAAGTAGCAAGACAGTAGCAGCACGTGTTACCTTGTACGTCAACTCGTCGTCCTCGTCCCTCTCTCTGTTATCAGTGAAGTCCTTCATCTGCGACAGGAGCTGAGCTTTGGCTGCCGACGTGCTGTAATAAGAGGAACAGCTGGAGCTCGCACCAGACCGCCTGAGGGCACAGAGAGGAGAGTTTATTTTATTAACACAGAGATAAAACAAACTAAAGCGATAAAGCAGGCGCACAGTCGTAAAATACAGTGATTACAAAAGTACAAAAATACGAAATGCCATCAATTATCTGTGCTAAGTGAGACAGAAGAAAAACAAGGGGCACATGGAAAACATCTCAACTCCAAACAAGCGAACAAAACAACAGAGATAAGCTGTGAGGCCGAGTTGAAACTGCAGCAGTTAACAGAGCAAATGACACCAGAAATGACATAACAAAAACTACATCTGTTAAACTACAAAGAATATAAATGAATTCAAATGCATATATTAATTCATATACATTTACTTTCAATGGCTTGCAGACTGCAGGATAGACCAGCACTGTGTTGCACCAGCTGTGTGTTTATGTTCTCTCCTAAGTCAGGGCGTCAAGTCGACACTAGAGGTTTAGTAACTAAATCAGCCACTAGAACTGGTTGCACTAAGATTACTTGGGCAGAACCTCACTATTTTGGAGGTCAAGTCAAAGTCAGATGGCCAATCGACAATCAAAGATATGAGACCCATCATTAAGTTAAGGTGCACATTAGCTTTCTGGCTGCCATGAGCCCCTTGGCATCACAGCACATCATAGTAAGCTAGATCAATAAATTCATTACTGGATTACTGAGGTGCAAAATGACAAGCAATTAATAAAAAAATATGCTGTGGGGCGGAAAAACTGCAGTTTTATCATTAGTGAGTATAATTCTGTGACATTTTATGATTTGTTGCACGTGTAACTATTTAGTTGTAACGTAGAGTTACGTTGTAATTTATCTCCCTGGTGCAACCGCTTCTATTTTAGTAACGCATGAATCGCAACTTAGAAATAATTTACGTTATAACTGGGCTACGTTATTACATAGAGCTGGTGCAAAAGGCTGAAGCTGAACATGGAATTACTTAAATACTGCAATTATAAATATAAACTTAATTCCAATGTGTGTCCTGTTTATGTTGTTGTCTTCATACTTTTGTACATAATCCCTACTTGATTTATTGTGTATCTGGGCTTTGTGTATTATGTATATTTTGGCAAATACTTAATATAAATATTAAAGCACACAGGGCTCGTGTAAGTTTTGACAGACTCTTCTACTGTAACTATCAGTAATGCATCAAATGAAATGTTGCTTTTTACAGTTTAACAGACATTTAAATTCATAACTCAAATAAGAGTTCAGCTGCATTTCACTTTCACTGATCAAACTGCTCTCAGTGCGAGACATCGACTCACATTTCAACTGCCTTTGGCTTTCACTCTTGGTTCGTGCTTACATGCGAACTGAAATCTCAGCTGCCTATAGGGAGCTCTAACACTTCAGCTTCGGGTAACACATGAACTGAACATGTAAACCCTTTTAGTGCTTCAACTTAAACTGTAAATCCCATTTAATATTTGCACCTGCAATTTTTCCAGCAAAGCCTTTTGTAGTTTTAAATGTGGTTTTACCTATATTTGCCATATAATATAATGTATATTGATATTGGAAAAATATTCTTATTAATATTATGATATTAATTTAAACCGTATCACCCAGACCTATGTAGATGGAATAAAAGGAGACGAAAAGCGTGAAAGGTGAGAGGAATTAAGGAGGGCTTTTAATATATTTCACCCCATTTAGATATTATAAGGGAAGCCGTCTAAATTAACTGTCCTATACTGTCCTGTGATTATCTAAAGGACTTGTCTTTCAGTCATACATGTGGCAACAATTGCCCATCTGGCACCTGTGTGGGCAAAAACCTACCGCAGGGGGAGAGAAATAAGAAAAACTGGCTGTAGTAAGGTGCTCTGGAAAGGTTGTGGGAAAGAGGGAATAAGCTTAGTGACAAGAACAGTTAGGTCTTGTACAAATCAAATGGTCTGTGTAATTAATGCGCGACACACACACAGAAACACACATTCCACCACTCAGACTTAAGCCATGTAGTTCCCGCTCTGGTTACCTATCCAAGCTGTCGGTGTTGTGCTCTGTGCTTTGGTAGGCTCCTCTCCAGCTCTCTGTGCCCGACTCTCCCTCACTGCTGTGGGGGAAGAGCTCCTCCAGGCTCAGCCTCTCTCTGCTGCTCTCCCCCGCCTCCATCTCCTCCTCCAGAGAGCTGCTCTCTGCCCTCGTCCTGCTCGACGGCGAGGCATCGGAGACCGGTACGGTGTCGATGTCCGTCTCCAGGACGGTAACCGGCAGCGCGAAGCATGGGAGCTCACTGGTGATCGGCTCGTCCTCTGCTGGAAGTCCCTCGTCTTCCTGGAAATCATCAATGTCTGTTTCCATTGGGACGTCCAAGTCTGCGTCCAGGCTGTGTGCAGGACTTGGGCTGAGGGTCGTCTCTGATTCTGTTCCAGGCTCGGGGATCTTCTGCAGATCGACGCTCTGAAAGCCTCTGTTCATACGGAGCTGCTGTTGCTGCTGCTCGTAGTCGAGGGCGAAGTAGGATTCAGGAGGTAAAACCTGTTCGACGCCTCCGTTTTCTAAGACAGGTGCAGGAGTTGAGTCGCTATGAACTCTGGGAGACGGAGCCCTCTCCCACTCGGCTCCTGGTCTCATGTTGGACTGATGTTTGTGAGGCTTCACTGTTACTCTTTCCTGGTCGGGGCTGTGGCTGACGGTCATCTCAGATAAACTGCAGAGACACGGATACACTTTATTATCACATAAACAAAAGACGTAAGTTGAGACAAAAATGACCGCCTTGAATTGAATTGTGATATTCAGTTAAAATTAAGCCACTCAAGGACTCAAATGTGACTTAAAATCAATAACATTACATGGCCGTGACTTTGTCAAGTCAAATTCTAGTGAAATAATTTTAATCAAATTAAAACCTGCTGAAAATATTTTGTTGAATGAATTTAACTGCTGCAGTGATGTCACGGTGCACTGCAGGGTGTGGTCAGTACACTGTGACATCACTGCTGGGTGTGGTTACAGGCGCAACAGACTTTCTAACATTGGTCAGTAAAACAAACCTTTTCGGGTAAAGTTAATCTTTAATTATTATGTTTTCCATTCAAATCCTGTATTTTGAAAATTGGTTAACAAAGCAGGATTAACACACTAAAACTGCTTTAACTGTATAAACCGTGAACCATGTTCACATATCTCACAATGAATCTTGGAATATACCGCCTAGCTTACCTGCTCACACTGTTATCTGTCGGTGGTGGTGGAGGTAGAGACGATAAAACCTCCTCTCTCTCCTGCTGTCCGTCATATGTGCTCCTCGGGTCCCTCTCTCTTTGGGGCAGAGCCACCGGTCTGAATGCCCTCCGGGAAAACATAGGACTGGGCGGAGCAACAGTAAACGCCCGATCCTGGAAATTAACCTGATTCTGATTGGACGAGGCGTGGGAGATGTGCGGTTCCTGCGTGTGTGGTTGATTCTGGTTGGAAGAGGCGTGGGGAAATGTGCGTTCCTGGGTTTGAATTTGGCCGCAGCTGCAGCGCGGGCAGCCATCCGACACTTCCTGCCTCTCTGGAGGAAGACTGTAGGACCTCTGCCTGGACATTTCAAGTTGAGAGATGTGCGAGGAGGAGTGATTTGAATAGTGTCCTTCTAAGGTGTTGAAGGAGGGAGGGATTGAGTGAGGAGCAGTAGAAGAGGAGGAGGAAAACAAATTGTGGTGAGAAGCACGTCTGCGGTGGAACTGCTCCCACTTCGGGGGCGGTGGTCTCGGGGGAGGTGGCATCTTCTTCCTGTTTAGCCGGGCAGAGTTGGCAGCTTCTACTGCCCTGACGCCGCCAGCTCCTTCCTCCACCTCGCTCAGGGTCTGGCTGGTTGCAACAGAAATCGATGGCGACCAGCGGTTGCTGCTGTCGAAGCGGAGGTCATTTTCGGACATGGCTCGTCCTCTGAGTGAGAGAGGAACCGGTGGGGGAGCAAATGTGTATCCGTTGTGGTCATCGTTGCCGCTGTCAACCTGTCTGGGGCCCCATCGACTCTGGTAGGGGTGCTGATGATACTGATTAATGGTCTCTGGAGGTCTGGACTCACGTCTCCAGCTTGCGTAGTCCCTGGGATGTGGAGATTGGAGTGACAGAAGATAAAAAAATGATTTCTTTGTCAACAAGCAGAGTAAAGGGAGCAAGAAAATGCCCCAAAACTCAGACCACAGTCCTGATTCCTAGTTTATATATGAGTTTTGAGTCTTAAACTCTTACTAATAATAAATAAATCAAGATTCTTTTGTAACTGTAACTTTATTATTTACTTATTAAAGTAGAGATGATTATTTAAGTATGATTAAGTATGATTATTTAGGATAGATCAAGTGACACAAGATGATTAAAACCACTCTCATGCTATCAAGTATAGAGCTGGAGCTGGGACATAGTTAGCCTAGCTCAGCATAAAGACTGGAAGCTCTAAAAAAAAAACAATTTGTAGTTTTAGGTTATCGTTTTTGGGTTATAGTTATGATGTATAACCATTTGCTTTAAAACAAGAGACAGGTGCAATGACTGTGTGCAGTGAGGTTGCCAGACTGGTACCATCATGCCTGTACTGAGAGCTACACCAAAACCTGTGCTCACAGACCTCTTGCCCTGCACTGCCCCAAAGGTTTTACATTACTGTTTGTGGATGAGATTAAACAAAAGAAATTAAGTTTGTTAATTAGTGTGTTTTCATCTTTGGATAGAGCCAAGCTAGCCATTTCCCCATTTTGTCGTTATGCTAAGCTAAGCTGACTATACTGAACAAAATTATAAACGCCCCCATTCATCATGAGCTGAACTCAAAGATCTAAGACTTTCTCTATGCACACAAAATGTCTATTTCTCTCATATAGTGTTCACAAATCTGTCCAAATCTGTGATAGTGAGCACTTCTCCTTTGCCAAGATAATCCATCGCAGTGAAATTTCCACATTGTGAAACAAAAACAGTGGTTCAATTACAGAAAATTTGTCCTTTTTGCATTCCAGACTCAGTGAACTGTTTCTGTCTCAGGTCAAATATGAGTAGAGGCCCTTTTTACAAGCCATGCGTGTCCTAAATGTCCCTCTACATCCCAACATACAGGAATCACCATCCAACCACATATCATTATGGTCACATTTTGAGCATGGATGATTGGTCTGCACACTTAGAGCTCATTATAGTCGAATTACAGCCAGGCATGACTGAGCGGGATTTCCGCGCGTCAGTGTACAATGGGCCGACCCCACCTAAAGTCTCCAGACACTCACTTAGAGATGACGCTAATGTGTTTCTGTACTGCTATGTCAGTAAAGCAGAATCACAAATTTAGAGGATAATGTAGTGAGAAATATTTAATATGAGAAATATTTCATGTTTATATGAATGTGTGTCTATAGTTTATAGCTGCTAAAGGAAGTGGCTCACCTCTCAGTCAGGCTGTACTTCCTGTTGAGCTTGGTCGTTTCCTGTTGCCGGGCGGGATACGTCTGTGGAAGACATTTACAGCCGATTAATAACACCAAAGGAATGAAGGACGCCTTCAATCTGGTGCTAAGTGTTGGTCAGCACAGGTCCCTGCTGAAGGGAAGTGTGTGTGTTACTCCACCCTGCCGTGTACTTCAATGTTGATAAGATTAATAAGAGTTTTTATGCTTCTATTTTAGATCTATTTTTAGATTTCAAAACACGTTTTTTTATGCTTGTCTTCACTGAAATTGTTTTATATTGTGTGTCTCCTTCAAGGTCTGCAACTAACTAACGATTTTCATTATTAACCAATTATGTTCTTGATTAGTCATATAAAATGTCAATTAAATATAGATATAGAATAATTAGAGAAAAATGCTTCCCAGATCACTTGTTTTGTATGACCATCAGTCAAAAGCTCAAATACATTTTACAAGACTATGAAAGTTAATCAATTTATTGTTTCAGCCCTATCATTCTCGATGCTTTTGCATTCTTACGTTGAGCTACAAATTTTGCTTGTTTTGTCCTTCCCTAGAAGTCCAGTAAACTGCTTTTTTCCAGAGCTTTCAAATGTATCTCATGTTCTTCTTCTGCACATAGTTTGCTCAGCTGTCGTTGAGTTCAGATTATTTTGTCAAACTACCAGTTCCAAGGTTGAGAATGAACTTTCACGCTCAATTTTGTAACGTGTTAACTTGTTTAAAAGGCTATTGTTTAGTTACTATTACTCGTATTCTTATAAAACACACTAAAACCTCGCACAGGAACCAATTTACCCAGTTCGATCTGGGTTATTACCCCACCAGTGGAATTCTTAGAGAACTCACTGCACTCTCATTACTGGTCAGAGATACAGCAGCCAGTAGACCTGCAGAGGCGAGGATAAGCTGCACAAACACACCGGTGGGGTGTACACACACACACACACACACACAGATTCCTGTGCAGAGATATTTTCTAACTGTCTGCAATGTAAATCTGAACATTGAGATGGTATTTTTGTTGGAAGGGTAGGATGTGAATTTAACATATTTGGCCGTCACTTGCTGTCAACTGAGCATAAAATCCATAAAATGGTAATAACTGATAACTTTGTGATAATAAACTCTACACCACAAGTACCTGGACGACCCCCATGCATTTAAATTCATTCCATTGGGTATTAAAGGGGCATTAAGTAATTTATGACTTATTTGGGTCTCAACTGGTGAATAGCTGGAATAAAAGAACTACTAGGGCAAATGCCAGACTGTTTTTGTTTTTGCACAGAGCAGTGGCTTTTTGAAATCTTGTCTATTCCATTCAGTGGTCATCCATCTGAAAAACACCTTGTAAAGAAGTAACATATCAATGCAATGCAAAATAAAGTAGTAATAATGATTTTTTTAAATTTGCTCTTTGTTTGAGAGCATCAATCCCATCAACCCTCCACAGAGTATTTGTCCTTGTAGTAGTGCTGATCTAAGACTAGAGTCCGACCAATATGGGTTTTTGGGGGCCGATGCCCGACATTAAAGTGAAAAAGAGCCGATTTATGAGCCGATATTTTCACTTTAAGAATGATTTGGATAGCAGACCCCTTTACTGTATAAACTATAGGCCAATATTGAAAGCTGGTATGTATGTGGGCTATAAAACCTTTCCCTAAATGGATTATGTTAATAAAATCAATTAGTCTCAAAAAGTGAACATGTAAACAATTGCACATCAATAAATATTTTCTACTGGAAGGTGCAACTTTTTCAGCAGTCTGTAAACAGAGAGAGTGAGAGAGAATAAGCATGTGTATTTCACTTTACACATAATCTGCCATAATTTCAATGTAGCACATTAACATCTAGTTCATCCCTTTACCAGCACTCTTCTAACCAAAGCTACGAGAAACCATTTAACCACCATCGGTATAAATCATGCCGTCTAGGATACAGTGAGCTGCTGCTGAATGCATCTAATACTACAGGAATGTCTACAACGAGGATCTGCAACTTTACTACAGTGTTTCACATCTACGTCACAAAAAGAGGAGCTACAGGAAGCCGTGATAGATTCTTGTAAGTGCGTAACCACGAGTAACTACCAAAACATACACTGTCAATACAATATATGAATAATAATGATAAATGTGTTTCATTTTGAGTATAATGAGCATTGTACGTGCAACGTTTTCTGCACTGACCTTTATAAAATTAATGTCCTTTGCAAAAAGGCCATATTGCATAAAAGTGTGGATTTAATGTTCATGTAATGAGGTGAGATTGTACAAAATAATATAATTTAACAGTCTAATTTTGCCAACAACAATTCAACTGAACTATTTCCTAACATTTCTGAAAACACAGCTCGGCGCATCTCAAATGAGAGCCCACTGAGTGACAGACCACAAATAATAATGATAATAGCAGCCAGTTACATTTTTATATCATCACATTATGTTTCCTTCCTCTGTCCAAAAAACACACACATACTGGAAAATTGAAGCACACAACTTAATGAATGAACCTGGATTCCCCATTCAATTTAAAGTGGGAACTCTGTGTTTGAATTGTATAATGGAACTTTATACAGTTCTGGTTAAGTGGGTTTACATGCATGTGTGTATCTGTGTTTACCTGATATGCATATGCTTCCCTTTGCATGAGTGTATTTCTATGTGTTTGTGTGCGTTATCACAGCCTTGGAGTCCATCCAGCACATCTGTTACCAATAAAGATATTGGACGTTGTCAGCGGCAGATATGAAACAAGAATTCAACGCGTGGGGTTATTGCCATGGCATCAAACCAACAACCTTTCATTTGAAAAGGATCCCAATGTGGGAGAAGCTTTGGTTCAAGGCATCCCTGGGGCCCCAGCATGGCAAAACCACACGAAAACAACAAAACAGTGTCAGCTTGAACCAACTATCTGCTGAACTGAAGACGCATTTAGCCCAAAAACAAATGCAAGTTTGGCTTTGCTTAGTGTCAATTGCGAAGGTTGCTAATAGGTTCACAGGAGATTCAAAAGTTCAGACGAGGGGCTGCACCCCCTGCCAAGAGACTCGAATCATTTTGTGGTACAGTTGTAACCAAACGCCGCTATTATCGCTGACACAAGTGTGCCGCTGTTGCCCAATCTCCCTCAATTCCATGAGCTATTTCAATGATATGCTGAATTTTCAATGACAATTTCAGCCTTTGACCACATGCAGGATGCAAGTTCAACTTCAAACCAACCGTTCAACCGTGGAGCAACATCCAAGTGTGGCAGCTTGATCCCTTTCTGGGGCTGGTTTTAAAGAACCAAGATAGTTGTCAGTTTCCAGTGGTCATTTCAGTCCAAGACCACAATCTGATTTTAGTGAGCTACTAAGTTTATCTTTCACTGTGAAAGGTGTTAATTGGTTTCAGTGCTGCTGGGACACAAGCTGTTATTTAGCTTAGTCAGCCTGCTGCTGAAAATCGTTTCTGAGGCCAGCAGGCTTGTAAACATACTTCTTAATGGATGCAATTAGAACTGATAAAATGTTTCCCAACAGGACTGATGCTCTGAAAAATTTTCTTATCTATATTAAAAACCCTTTATCGGTAATGTTGATAATCACGTTTTGGTACACCTATGGCATGTTTGCAATGTTTAGCTCACCCAAATAAATGCAGTGTCTTCACGTTGTTGTGTGTTCATGTCGTGCAATTGCGCAAAATGCAGACAAAGCTTGGAAATAGCTACAGTCTGTGCGACCTACCGCATTGCACTTATTGTTGCCCTTGTGTGAATAAAATAGGTCCCAGTGTGTGTGTAAGTGTGTGTTCATGGATATGTTTTGCATATGCATTGAATATAACACTGAAATTTTGAGTGAGAGCAGCACACTTACCTCTGTAGGTGTGTAGCTCCTTCCTGTGTATCCCTGGTGAAGAGGCTGTTTGCTATCCAGGGGCTGGGAAGAGGTGTTGACTGGATAAAAAGCTGATCGTGGGACTTGATTCAGGGTTTGGCTATGGGGGAACACCTGAGGCTTAGGCTGGGAGTTGTGGTAGCTGTCACTGTGCTGGAAGCCTTGATTTTTTTCTCCGATTTCAGAACTGGTATGAAGGTCCTGATGTGAGGTGAGTTGAGCATCTTCTTCTTTTTCCTTCTCTCTTTCTCTCTGAAGCTCTTTCTCTCTTTCTTTCTTGAGACGTTCCTTGTCTCTGGCCCTCTCCATCTCTTTTTCTCTCTCCAAATCAAGCTGCTTCTCCTCACTTTCCCTCTCCCATTGTCTCACCCTGTCCTCTCGTTCCCTCTCCTGCTGAATCTCCCCCAACCTTGCCCTCTCAATTTCTAATTCCCTCTCCTGTCTTTCCTTCTCCTGCTGCCTCTCCCTTTCTCTCAACCTCTCGTTCCTCTCCTTTGCCCTCTCCTCCCTTTCTCTCGCTTGTTCCCTCTCCTTCTCTTTCTGCCTCTCTCTGCTGGTACTCACAGACAGCCTCCTGGCTTCCACAGTGTTTGGAAGCAGTGCGGTTTCTTGCTGAATTCCCCCCTGGTAGGAGTATCTTCTTTGGGCTGGGTGCTGACCGAGCTCCCCCTGGAACTCCAGATGCTGGGGGGGTTTCTTCTGCCTGCGACTTGACAGATTTGAGACATTTGATCCGGACATACCCTTGCTTGTCTCCTCGAAAAACTTCATTCTATCTGCAAATGGAAGTAGATCAGACTCCTCCATCCGAGAACAGGAAGCAGAACGGCTGTATGAGGAAGTGTATGAGGAGGTGAAGGCACAAACCCCATGCTGTGACCCTATGACTCCCAACACTCTCTCACCCACGACTCCACACCGTCGGTCTAGTTTGGGTTCTGGTTGGAGTTTATGCTCGGGGGTCCAACGCCAGCGGCGGGCTTTGCCAGCAGGAGCTGGTTCCTCCACAACTCGGATGCCAACACCAAAATTGGGCACTCCTGGGTCCACAATTTGAACAGACCTGGATGGGTTGTTGTTTTGAGAGCAGGTTGTTGACTGAGATTGAGTCTGCAAGACATCGTGGTTTGATTCCCTTGAGGTGCTTGATTTCTCGAGTGGTGCTGTGGTGCTGGCATCTTGGGGACCAACAGGGGAGGAAAATGCAACTTTGGTTCTCCTTTCCTGGGCAGGCAAGTCTGGGTCTGCCCCTTCCTCATTGAGGTCTGGACCCTCTTCCTCCTGAACAGTTTCCCCACTACAGAGCAACCCTCCTGGGCCATGGCTGCTTTGAAGCTGGGCTTTTTTCCTCTGGATCTCATTGCGGAGGTTGGTAGCAAATCGCTCACTACGACGACGGTTCCGACGATGGTTCCTGGACGAATTTGACTTCTTCAGATTTGCCTCTCCTCCTACAACCTCCTCTTTTTTACCTCCACTTCTGCCACTGTCCACTGCTTTCTGCTCCTCCAGTAAGGTATCCACACTCGCAGCAGCACTAAGAGGCTCAAAATCTTTCTCTTGTATAAGGTCAGAGCTCAACCTTCCCTGGGTTGACGTTCCAGTGGGGTTCCCTGGTACGCTCACAGAGCGGCCCCAAGGGTGGTGATTCTCAGTTGGGGGAAAGGGCCCACCATTTACACCCATCCCTTCCAGCCTCTCAAACGATCCTCGAACATCCTCCCCTTCCAAGAAAACAGATCCTGGGGTGGAACAACGGCTGCCACCCCATTTGTTTGCTGAGGCATGCAGGTGGTTGTGAGGAGCTTCCTGGTCTTCCCTTGGGGGCTGGAGTGATGAATGGGACCACTGGCTGCTGCAAGATGACAAGGAGCGATCAGGAGGGTTTAACGGATTGCAAGGCTCCAATGAAGAGCTGTCACTGTCAAACTGCAATAACTGGAGTTGTGTAGCGAGGAGCTTCTCAGGGGCGCTGTTCCGGTGCAGCCCCGTAGAGGAGAGCTTGGTCTGGGAGTGCATGATTTGAGACTGCCCTTGACCCTCCATAGAGGATTCTGCAGGTGAGGAGCCAGGAAGAGAGGAGGTTATGGGGACTAGAGATGCTGTCACTGGGTCAGAGAGATGATCTGAGGTGGTGTCTGAACTGTAGTCTTTATTAGCACTAGTATCACATCTGACATGTCTAATGTCCTTAGTCTGTCTTTGTATATAGTGCGAGTCTAATGTATCCTCTTTGAAATTCCCAGTTTTGTCACCTTCTTTTGGTCCAGGGAAGCCGTTATGAATTCCTGATACAACATTGAGAGAGGACTTGCTTTCATCAGGGTAAAAAGCAACACTAGAGATTTCATTAGGGGCGGAGACACAACGTTTGTTTGCGGCATTAGGGCGACTCCGGGTTGCCCTAAAACTGTCCTTCCTGGCTGGAGGCTGAGGAGGGTTCATCTTTCTTTCACCTCCTCTTTCTCCATTTCTTATGATCTCAAAGTCTCCTCCCCTCCGTTCCTCTTCATAACAGCAGGAGGAAGGCCTCTCTTTTACCTCAACAGGCCTTGATCTTGGCCTGGTTAGCGACCTGGACTTGTGTGCAATAAGCTGTGCCTCACCCGGGGCCTCACCAGATGAACTCCCCAGGGTTGAAGTATCACCACTAGGGTAGCCTCGACAAGCCGGCCCCAGGCTCTGGAGGAGATTATCCATGGAGCAGGCTTCACCGGGCCTTAGTGGCACTGCCGCGTAGTCGGATGTGTTTGAGCTGGCAGAAAATGAGCTGTAGGCAGAGTCTCTTTTGTTGTTGAAGAGGCTGGGGTCGACGGGTGAATTGTGGGAGTCAGAGAACGGCTGTGTGATGGGTGTCGGTGTGTCCAAGCTCTCCATGGAGCCCAGGGAACTGCTTCGGTCAGTGGAGGAGTAAGGTCTGGACAGCTGACCCCACTGCAAGGACAAGTCACTGTAAAGACGTGGAGACAAAGAAGATCAACTTATGTGTTTCAAAAACAGACAATCTTCAGACAAAATAGGCAAACTAATGTCACCCAAGTCTTATGGGAATACGCATCTGTCATTGTTCTCTGACATTTTATTGAAAAATCTGAGCTACACTATAGACCAAAAACTTAAAAGAAAGTATGCCATTTCATTAAAATCAAAGCAACACTGAATGTTCCCTTAGCAAAAATCATGTGGTTTCTTTCTAAACAGTATGATGTTAATCCTTGATTGACAGAATGGTTAGCGCTTTTAGAAACCGCATATAATAAGTCAGCAATAAGTCTGCGATTCTCCCCAGAGACATATACAGTATATCATTCTGGCATCCAGTTTTTGAACTGTACAGCTGGGGAATCTGTTTTCTATCAGTCCTGAGCCAAAGATCCACGGCAGCCCCATGTGTTTTTAAAGACCCCCGGAGGAAGCCTCTTAAGGCGGAGAGGGATTTCCTCCTCATCAACTCCCACTGCCTGGAGTCAAAATATCTAAATCATCTCTTGATTCCTCTCTTCCTCTGTCATTCCTTTCTTCATCTTGTGGATTCTTCCTGTCCCATCTCCTTTACATCAAACATGGATTCGTTCAAAAATGATAACCACTGAAAAACATCTGAAACCTAAATATTTAAACATGTTTCCTTTTACTGGATAGTAGGTCAGTTGAGCTTTGAACTGATTATATGACATAATACTTAAAAATACAGTAAATCACAAGTCAAATCAATTTCATTTATACAACCCAAAAACACAAATTAGCACCAGAGGACTTTACAATCTGTACAACATATGGCACTCGCTATCCATAGATGGTTAAACAAATAAAGGAAGACTCCTCAAAAATCCTTCAAACCTCAAGAGAAACAACAAACAGACATGCAATAAATGTCATATATACATCAAACAGTGTGGTTGCTCAATAGGCTGAACTGCACGCCATGCTACCACAATATCCCTGATTTAAATCTGACCTGTGACCTGTTTGCTCATCAGCCCCCTTTTTCTGTTCACTTCTACATCTGTCTAATAACAGGCCAAAAACACCAGAAAAATCTAAACAAAGACAAAAACAAAGGGATATAAGGAACTCCATAACAATCCAAAACTTCTTAGAGAAAACCACATCAGGCCAAATGACAGGGAGTTTCAGCATGAGGAGAGCTTAGAGAATGAGGGTAGAAAAATATTGCTATCTATAGCTCCAGAGGGTTAGGGGCACCCAGTGTTTAGTGCTTGGATGAAATCTAATCTGCAAAGGCTGCAACAAAAATGTCTGCAGATATTTTTATTTTATTGTGGTATTTATTTTTCCTATAAAGAAGAGTGGTCACTCACCCTTTGTATTTCTTTGCTGTCTCGAGCAATAGGGAAAGTTGCCAAAGAGACAGAAGAGAGGTCAAAAAAGAAGAGAGAAATTTCTAAAGGACTTTGATATTAAACCAGTATGAGGAAACAACCAGCATACTATCTTCCAGCTGTTTCTGTGGTATTTGTGGTTTACAATCCACGCAAAAATCTGAAAACCAATGTGTTTTGTTACTCTTGTATTTTACCACAACTTACTCTTATGAAAATATGATTATATGCAAATGTACTCAAATGTTTTGGTGGTCTGCCAAATGTGTGTAGGTCATGTGTATTTATGCACTTACTATTAGGCACTGGATAAATTCCACGAAAGCATACAAGTGGTTTTTAGCTCATGTAATATAAATCATGCATGCTTTTTACCACAGCTATTTTGCAAATAATGCTGCTGTGTTTCAGAAAATAATCCATTTGTTGGGGAGCCATTGGTTTCCATTAATTTTTGGGGGGGTAAAAGAAACAATTCAACTCATTACTACTAAGTCTACTGCTTATCTACCACCCCACCTTGTTCTCCTCCTGTATTGTCACGAAGTGACAGAGCTCCCTCTCCTCTCACTTCTACCTGTGAGAGAAGACGGAGAGACGGTGCTGCCAGATGAGCCGCTGACTTAGGTTACTTTGAGCAGCATGCAGGGGAATTTAGAAGCCTGCATATAATAGACTTTGAATATTTCTCACATCCCCCCCTGATGGCCTGAAAACTCACTAGATTTGTTGCTGGTCGCTTTTTAGAAATAAAGTTGTTGAGGGTCTGAAAAGGGCAGGCAGCAGACCAAACCACTATAAGGGAAATGGAGGGAGGAGAGGACATAACAAAACTTAAAAACGCATTAGACTCATAGTAGAGAACAAGAGCTGTTCGCCGTTTGTGTACCAAATCCATAGACCCTGAAACCACAACAGTGGTTATATTTCCATTTTTAAATCAAAACTATTGCTGGGGAATATCAGTAGTCGCCGGATATTGGTAGGAAATTATATGATCCTTACATCCTTGATGAGTTGAGGAATCCATGTCAGTCAATGTCAAGTCTGTGTTCATTTTTGTAAATGTTCTGTACCTAAACTGCACAACCACGCATTTTTAATGTAACATCAACAGACATTAATCCAGAATGGATGTTCGCTATCAAGGCTGGATTACCAACCGGGAAAAGTGGATAAATTCCTGAGAACCCAAATTCACAGAATGGCAGTTGGTTCTGGTGATGTGATCAGATGTAAAGTTGCACCTATAAAATAAATTGTCGACTAAGACTCCCCCACGACCCTGTACGCAGGATAAACGGTTGACGATGGATGGATGGATGACCAGTCCTGCGTTACTTACATGTTGCCAACCAAAAATTCCTTGTAGAAAGGCCCTGTGTGAAAATCTAGTTATAGAACCTATATCTATTATTTTATACTGTACTGGTACTAAATACAGCTTTGTTTAATGAAATTGCCTGAAATTAATTGACACGCAGAAAACCTGGGGCTGGATAATATTTTAGCATAGTACTGGAGTGTTATTGGGTATCTAATAAAGCTGCCATGCATAGTGCGTACTCCACTTAATGAGAACTTGAAGGCAACAGGGTAAATTATACATTGCACAAGCAAGCGATTCAGCAAGTTTTAAGAGATGCTTTCTTGCTTTTCATATTGTACTGGAATTAATGGAAAACAATGGCTGCCTGGAACATTTGTAAATGGTCAGAAAAGTAGTACAAATTTTATTATCTGCATGAGAAAACTGTCTTTGAAGGAAGTGAGCAATGGATGAGAAAGCCGATGCATAGATTTGACCTGGGTGACAGAGAGGAAGAGAGCAAATGAGACGGGAGCTGGACAGGAAATGACTGTCACTCTTGCCCAATCATGTGGAACATGTGAGTGTGAGGGTTAACACAGATAAACCTGCATGTGCGCGCACAAAACATACACACACACACACACGAGGGGATATGTGTGCTCAGACTGATTGGATTCATTCTCAGCGCGTCACTTACATACAGACACCATCACACATCAGCTGAGAGCGATGTGAGAATGCAGATGGCGCACCCTACATATTTTACATAAACAGCACACACACTTGCTTAGTGTGGAAATGAATACACACACATATGCAGACTGTACAAAATGTCCCTCTCCTTCACACAAACACAGTTTATTGAATGTCTTCCTCTCTTTGTCCACATGTTCATTGTCCAGAGTTATGCAGGCAGCTGTCTCTCTCTGTGTGTGTGTGTGTGTTTGATGAAATCAGGCTTTATAAACTGTGGGAATAAGAGACCCACACACATACACATGCGCACACACCGCTATCTAATCCACGTGGGACTTTTAAATCTAATGGTGGTACATTATATCACTGATTCTTATCAAAAGGAGAACAGTACAAGGCACTGACGTACCATGAAACTGACAAAGACAGAAAGGCTATTTTTATTCTGTGCGTCAATATACCGCTTATAGCAACTTCCTCTTTCCTTTAAAGATTACTATTTAGCTCTGTGAGATCATACTCTAATACATGGACCACTGTACTTTCATGCCCTCTCTTCGTTTAACCTGGCTGGAAATTTCAGTCTTTTGTCCCAGTTGTTTCACAGTTATATAAAAATATCCATTATTATATTTATAACAATTAGCTGTGAAATTGATTAATCAATAAACAGTATAAAAAAGGCAACTATTCAGGTAATTGATTAACAACTCCAGTCTTTTTTTGACTGTTAGTTGGTCAAAGAAGGCATTCGGGCTTTGGGAAATTGTGGTTGGCATTCTTCACAATATCCTCACATTTCTATGGACTGAATGATTACTTTATTAATTATCATTGAGGTTTTTAAATTAAAGCTCAAGACCCACCTATTTACTGCTGCGTATGAGTCCTAAGTTGTTCTTATTTCTGATGTTTTTGTATAAATGTGATGTTTTATTAGTTGTTTTATTTGTTTTTTAGAGCACTTTTTTCCTGTAAAGCACTTTGATTGAAAGTGTCCTATAAATAACTGTATTATTATTAATTTATTATTATTTATTACGACAGCACACCATATGGCTTCTTTTTGGACAAAACATTTAAAGCGTGATTGTATAAATTCTGAAAGAAGAAATAAACTGTTCCTCCTACAAATGAAAAGTTGAAAACATTAGCAACACAATAAAATAAACAATTGCTCAATTCTATACATTCATGGGTATTGATGCTATAGTCTCATTTTATTTTATTTTTAGTTTATGGTGGCAAATATTAGCACACTTAAAAAAAAACATGTGGCTAGTTAACTAACATTATTTAGCCAGTTTGCTGACTGTGCTACTGTTACACTATGTTGGAGCTTTTATCATTATCCTGTACATGTTCATGTGTTTTGGGGTTCTCACTATAAACATACAAAACAAAATGCCCATAAAAATAAAAGAGAAGCAACTACCCAGAATCATTTGGAACAACTGCAACACTATTTTTGCACATAATATTATTAAAATCCAGTGCACTTCTGCGTGATGTATTTTGTCAAAGCCATTTTATTTTACCCTCAAAGGTTAAGCAGTGTAATGGTAAGCGGTCAAGTGCAGTAGGTCTCAAACTGTTTAGTCAAGGATCCCTAAGCTGACACAAATTAGACCCCGGACTCCCATATGACATGGTTTTTCCCAGGGACCCCCATCTGATAGGATTGTCTTTTAGATATCTTATTACATACAGTGAAAAAACAATAACCAAAATGGTCATCCATTCTGTCATTGTGTTACTTATGGATGGAATCATAGTGAAAATAAATTATCCCTCTTTTTGCTTGGAGCCCCCTCAAGGACCGCTGGGACTTTGACAACCACTGATCTTATGGACAACTTAAATTTTCACTGGGGGGTTCTGGAGGTGAATGATATTAACAATAATGGATTACATTTATATAGCACTTTATCTTAGATTCCAAAAGCATTTTACAGTGAACCACCACCGATGTGCATCACCCACTTGGGTGATGCACGGCGGACATTTTTGCCAGAACCCTCACCACACATCAGCTTGAAGTGGAGAGGGAGGATTACATGTGTCACTGACCAGTACGTCCACAAAAATATGAACCAAAAAATCGTTTTATTCACTAATATTAGCCTTTTAGCAATGGTTTAACACACGCTAAGGCTTGAATGGATCTCACACAATAGCCATTAGTTAAAGAGGCGGTATTATGCTTTTTGGCTTTTTGCCTGAATATTAGTTTCTGTTTGAGCACTTAGGCTCAGTGAATGAATGTGTGTGAATGGTGAATGCAGATGTAGTCTAAAAGCGCTTTGAGTGGTCAAAGACTAGAAAGGCGCTATACAAATACGGAGCCATCAAAACCACCAGTGGAAAAACACTGAGCTGCAGCACACCTCTCCTCTCCCTTCCAAACACTAGCTACCCTCCAAGCAGTCAATGGACATAAAGTTGTTTCTGTGATGTAGAGACAGAGCTCAGTTAAAACTTTATGGATGAAAGCCTACAGCTGAGTCGAAGCTGTTTACCGGCTTCTCACGACACGACCTTCTCTGCTTCTGATTGGCTATTAGTCCTTAACTAGGAACTGTGCATGTGGAACTCCCAACAAAGATCATGTAGAGACAAGATGTTTCACTCCATGGCTAAAACGAAGCCTTCAACACAGGGTGAAAAGAGGAGCTGCAGCAATGTGCAGTATGACAAAAAATTGTGTGTGTTTTTTTTTTTTTATTAAACCATGTAAACCTGTTCTGGTACAACCCCTAAATAGGATGGGAAAATGAGCTTAATACCACCTCTTTAAGACTGCTACAGTAATGACAGCAATCACAGACCCGTGAAACAAAACAAAAACAGTCAAAAAAGTGTATATTTCAAACACTAATTGACAGCATTTGATTTCATTCTTCCTATTCAGGCAGACAGAAGCTCAAATCATTGGTTATAACTTTGGATTGTTTAAATGGATAGACCAATGGGCTTCCTGCGTGGGCTGTGTTGACATTAGAGGGTGATGTCACCTGATTCCTACCAACAGTTGGCTTTTGGGGCCGAGTCACAGGGACAAAAAACCCCAGCAGTGACCTAGAGACAATGTCCTATTGAGTCATAGGCTCACTGTGAATGATTGAAACCTAAATGTGGACATTAGGCAAGTGTCTTTGTTGTCAAACTGAAGCAAGGAAGTGGGCAAGAACAGGATATATAGCTTATTTTCCCAAATCAAATTCTATCAGTGGATATAATCACAATTACTAGGACTTTTTTTTATGAAAGAGGCGTCAAATCAAAGCCCAGAGAAAATTAGCTGAACAGGAATTAAACTTCAGCTTTCATCAATTGTCATTCAATTAATAATGTCACTTTTAATGCAAGGTTTGCTTTATAAACATGTCAGTCGTTTGTTTTTATAAATAAAATATTATTACACTGTCAATGCTCTTGTGAAGTGTTGTGAATCATTCATTGACCTAAAATAAAACCTAATATAATATATTAACTATAGTAATCTGTATAGTATAGAGTGTCTAGAGATAACAAATTCTCACTGCCAACTCGTCACATATTGACGCTTGGTCAAGCCCTATTGGCGTCACTTTTTAACACCCTGGGTACCCCTTTAGCACTATTTTTATTCACATTTAGATCTCCGCAGTCATGTTAGCAAAAATAAATATGCAACATCCGGTTATACTTCAAAATAATACTTACTAGTACTTATTAACGTTGCCATTTTAAAATGGCACATTGTTTACAAAGTGAAACGTCACAGTTCTGTTAGGTTTAGGCACCAAAGTAGGTTTTGGAATAGATCACGGTTTGGGTTAAAATAACTACGTTAAGTACGTCAACTAGCTTTCATTACTTGCTTAACTTCAATAAAACAATTTAATGTTGAATTTTTGTTTCACACGGGAAACAAACACTGGTTTCCTGGTTAAAAGTCCGGTTTCTGACCCTCCATCCACCCCAATCACCTCCTTACTCGTCTTTTATGTTAAATAAATGTTGTGATGTTTTGTTTTTTTTAACTACATAAATAGAGAGTCTTTCTTGTCCCAAGAGGGAAATGGCTTAACAATTTCATGAAAGACGAGATCAGTTAAGAATCAAATATTATCGATCCGAGTGACGTCTTCTCACCTGTTGTCAGTTGTGTGCCAGGGTAGTGTGTAGGGGCCGGAGTGGAGCTGCATGGCAGATAGAGGAGGAGGAGGAGGGGCGAGAGGAGGGGAGTCGGCAGTGGGGGGGCAGGGTGGAGTAGGTGGTGGAGTTGGAGGAGGGGGAGGGGGAGAGAGGGGCGGCTCCGATAGCTTCGCCAGGTGCCAGGAGTGAGGCCTGATGAGAGGAACGCTGCGCCTGTAGAGGTGAGAGGGGGAGACTCAGTCTTCGAGCAACACTTTGAGCCCCTTTAAATCTCCCATTATAATGCATCACAGAGTTGGACTGTGTTAGCATCTGCTGTGCCTTAATTATACTCATAACTCACATTTACAAGCACCACTTGAGGGCAACGTCCCAAGTTTGATCCCTGTGGACCTTTGTTGCATGTCATCTTCCTTACCCTGTCCCCATTTGTCATATCTGTCTCCACTATCAACAACTGAATAACGACAATAATCCCCAAACCTCCGTCTTAAATGCTTTAACATGATCGTGCAGTTGGCAATTTATTATGTACCCTGAACTAAAACAGACTTCTATTAATCCTGCCTTTCTGAAGGGTATAAAATCCAGTTTTTGATTACTAAATTCAACTTTGCAGTAATTCTGGAGGATGAAGTTGAGATTTATTGCGTTATACTAAGAAGTGTTCGTAAAAGTGTGTCTACCCTCATGGTTATAAATGGGGTGGACAAAATATTAGAGACGGAAATATGGATATATATGTAGCTGCACTGTATTTATATTTTGTTATTGTCCAGATGTGCCTCTGACTACATTAAGAGGTCTTTTGTTTGCATCTTTTGCATTTACAACCAGCATTTTTGTTTGGGGGTCAGCAGTAACCTGGGTATTTTCATGGACACTGCCACATTGTATTCTACCACTGAATTTGTTTTAGATTTACGGTCTATTGGCACTGACAGCAGTTGAGAAAGGATTTATGATTTTTTTTGGCTTTATTTAATTAATAAAGGTAAACCTTGAGATTATACTCATATATAAAGAAGGCGCTGTGGTGTGGTATTTCCTGCACAAACTCATCAAGTCTAACTGTATAAATGTGCAACATAGATAAATGATGGTTGTCATCCTTTTCCCCTGACGGCTAATGTAATTTCCTTTTTATACAGTAGGTCAGTTTTTCCATTTTGCAACCTCCTGTTGTTTGACCACAGGATAACTTTACCCCCAATTCAAAGCAACATCGTTTTTATTTGTCTAAATATGATGATTTACCCAGGAAAGATGTCTAAGGAGACATCCTTATTTGCAACCACAGTGGTAAGTGTCTTGGAAGATCAGGGCTCACATAAAAAAGCAATGGTACCTTGCCAACCCAAATTCTATGGAAACAGCTTCCTACAAAGTAGTGTGGCCTTCTACTGGGCTGCCATTAAAAACACATCTAACATGTACGGTAGGTTCTCCAGTTTGATTTGAAGCCAGACATTCCAGTGTATCCCATGATATTCGCTAATTCCCTTTTACAGACTTCCGATCTAATATGCTAGCCGCCAGCTTCAATTCAACCCCCTGCAGACAGCGTGTGTGTGTGTGTGCTTGAGTGTGAAACAGAAAGAGCTTCTGAAAAAGAGTTAGAAACAAGGACAGACAGAGAAAAAGCACAGTCAGGTATAAATGTTCCTTTCTCCGAGTCTCAATGGACCTTGATATGGATAACCAGTTCTCTCAGATTGATCCACAGATGGGGATATTGCTGCTGGATGGAAATAAAGTACAGCGCATAACAACAACAAAAGTTGTTGACATTACTTAAATTTGACTTTGACTGCCTTGAGACTTTTCTCATCCTCTCTCGGTTCCTGTCTCAACTGAGATTCATCAAGACCCAAACTTGATTTGGACTGGTCTCAGTGTCTTGAAACTGGACTTTCACCTGACTTTAGACTTGACTTGGACCTGTCTCAGCTGTCTTAGGATTTAAGTCTCTGGCTTGACTTCAGTTTGCCTCGACTGACTTGAGACTTTTCACAACTGAATTGAGACTTGACAAGACTAAAACTTGACTTGACTGTATTTTAACTTAACTTGGATTCACTTGTTTGACTTTACATTTAACAAGATTTGAACTTCACTTGAGCATGTCTTTTTTTGATTTGACACTTCACTAGTCTCAAACCTGACTTGTCTTGATTGATACAAACGTAATGAGACTCTAACTTGACTGAACTTGAGACATAATTCTTTCATGGGGACTGTCTCATCTTACTTCAGACTTGACTTGGACCGGTCTCAACTGTCTTAGGACTTTGCCTCTGACTTGACTTCAATTTGCCTCAACTGACTTGAGACTTGACAAGACTCAACTGACTCGGACTCATCGCAATTGAACTCAGACTTGACAAGACAAAAATTTGACATGGACTGACTTGATTTTCAACAGTATTTTAACTTTTAACTTTCACTTGAACTTATCTGATTTGGCGCTTGACTAGTCTCAAACCTGACTTGTCTTGATTGATTTGAGACTGAACTTGGACTTATCTTGATTGACACAAAACGTAACGAGACTAACGTGACAAGACTTGTTCTTGGATGGGAACTGTCTCATCTTACTTCAGACTTGACTTGGGGTTGTTTTGGGACTCGACTGGTTATGACTCCTTAAACTGAAAGTACAAAAAATGTAAAATGAGACAATTCTGGGTATTTCAGAGAAACACTTTGAGGTACAATTTTAGGAGAGGAATGTGGGTCCTGGCACCGCGAGGCAAAGGAAAGGGCCATTTCAGAGTATTATTGTTTATGATAAAGCAGGAGCAGGGGAACCATTTCCAAAATAAACACTCTTGTTTCCTGGTTCTGGCTCCTTAAGAAGGATTTCAATCTGAGCCCACTGATTGTTCAACTCTGCTGACAATGTCCTTAAATTATCCCCTGAGAAAGTTTATGTAGAGCCTGTGTGTTTCTGTATGTGTACCTATGCCTGTATGTGTGAATGCATGAATATGTGTGGGAACTATCCAAACTCGACCAGACAAAATATCATTATTGAACATACCACAAACATTAGCAGACCCCCCCCACACCAGTACCTCCTCTTTTCTCCAAGTTTAGCTTTTAGAGATTGATGACTGTGAAAATCAAAACAAACGATGCGACTATAAAGTTTGATGGGGACAGAATGTATGATAAGGAGAAAAAAAACAATAATGTGCAGTTTTGTTACTTAACAAAGTCGAAAACTGCTGTACTCTTTTGTAGTCATGCAGGGAAGAAGTTCTTCCAAACCACATAACCAATCGCTGTTTTTCCAAAATGCTGAGAGCAGTGCTTGAGGGGGGTCAGCAATCATTTATACCACAAATTTGGGGATTTACAGTAAAAAGAACTGCACTTTCTACATGGAACCACAGCTGTGATATTGGGAGGCACTGAAAAAATAATATAAAAACAACATCATCTTGTCCATGAATAAGCAGTTTTTATTATGTTACATACTGTTCTGGTCGTGTATTTACTCATCCCAGCAAGAATGATTTGGTGATTTGCAGGTCAAAAGATCAAAAATCTTCTTCTTTTGGGCTACATTTGGTGAGAGTGCGACATAAAACATTTAGTTCAACCATCACTAAAACTGCACGTTAAAATATGTGATTATTGAAATTCAATTCAAGTTTCAGTTTGTCAATCCAACTATAAAAAATATGAAATACAATTATAATTAATAATAATGATAATGATTAATCATTTAGCTGACGCCTTTATCCAAAGCGACTTACAATTGCTATATATGTCAGAGGTCGCACGCCTCTAGAACTACGGGTTAAGCGTCTTGCTCAGGGACACATTGGTGGATGTGTCACAGTGGGAATCGAAACCAGGTCTCCCGCACCAAAGGTATGTGTCTTAACAACTGCGCCATCGCCACCCCTTTGCACTCGGTTTCTTCAGGAACACGGTGTAAAAACTGTCAAAAGTGTCAGACAAATACAGAGTTATCTTCACCGATTCAAAGTTTAGTCTATAAAACGTCACAAATAATGAATAAAAGCCCATCAGGTCTCAGAGGTTCCAACGTGACATGTTAACATTGCTTGTTTTGTCCAACCAACAATCTAAAACCCAAATATCTCACATTTACAAAAATATAAACCATTAAAGCAAAAATTAAGATTGTAGGTGATTCGTGACCCGTACGGGTCACAGCGAATTGTGTGGGTTTGAGGGTGAGCTGCTAAATATCAAGGATGTTGTCTAAGAAGACAGATGGGCCAAGATGTAAACAAGACTGTTCCTCCGCTGAACTGCCTAGGTTCAACCTCAAGTGCAGACCAGCATCCACCCAAAAAAGGATGCAGTTCTGTATCTGGTGGGTGAAGTTGCAGCACAACTCGCACTCATGTTAGTTATCTTGAAGACTGAAGTCAGAAACCTTGCAGCTCCTACAATGTCAGTAAAAAACCGAGGGAGTGAAAAGTCTTTCTTGAGGAATAAAGTGTTAAAAGGCTTTTGTCAGGGATGCATTCAGTGACAGCTATTCAGGCTCCATAAAGTCTGTGGCACTTTCATTTATAGGGAGCAGGAAACATACCAAGGCACCGGCTATTACTATCCGTTTGAGGAAGCACCTTCCAAGGCCACTGTGAACTGTTTTCGTGTGTTTGATAATAATCCAAAGAATTCACCTTTCCTGTTTAACCCCGTTGGCTACCTGTCTCTGCCAGGAACAACACGTAAATACCACATGAATCACATTTTTTTTAAGAATTCGCTGGCATACGAAAGGTAGTCCTTGATGTGGAAACCAAGATAATGAGTAAATCAACCACAGTTAGGGTATTACTGTGACCGCAACCAACCTGGAAATCCAAGACACGGAAAGCTTCTATTTATAAATATATTCTCTGGGGGGGGGGGGGTTCTGTTTATCTTAAAATTGAGAAATTGATAACGGAAATACAACCAAATAACTGTGGTCGAGCCATGTAAAAGGAGTCAAAATAAGAGAACAGAAGAGACAAAACCAGAAACAACTAACAAGAAAGAAGAAGAGGAGCTGGTGAGACGCCACAGCAGTGAAAGGCCGATAAATTATGAATTCTGTGTCTTGCAGCTCTGAATGAGCCTCTATGAAAGGATCTGCTGGAATGTCCCACTTAAATGGTCAGAAACTTCAACAGCTGACTGATATAGCAAAGGTCACCGCGCATAATCTGAGTCACACACGCAGTCTCAATACAGTACAGAATGAATGCCAGACAGGCAGCCAGACAAACGAACAGATTTGGACTCGAAAGAGTCTCACAGATAAAAACAGAAACTTCTGCGATACAGACCGGAGAAGGAGGACATGGCAGGGACGGTTAAAAGATTGTGAAGAAGACGACAAAATGTTTGTGTAGCAGGGTGTATGTGAAAACATGCATCATGTGCTCAACAACCCCTCCCTGGGAAGATAAAAGCATGGCTACTGTTGACTCTCTGAGGAGCCAGACGATAAAGATTCAAACTTTCGACTTTCCTTCACATGTGTGAAAATAAAGTTCTACAAGTTGAATCTTCAAAGTAATCAGAGAAAAAAAAGATGAGCTATTAATCCTAAACTGAAGTGGAAACTCAGCAAAGATGATTAAGATGCGAGAGTTTCAAACCTACCAGACTCTGCAGGCTGAAGCATCCACTGTCAAACTGATCCCAGTTCAGGGTCCCAGCATCCCGGATACCCAGAGTTCAACTCCAAAGTGTTGAGAGTCTCAGCTCAAGTGAAGTGATCAACAACAAATTAACAACTTCTATATAATCCTCCTTACAAGTTTTCAGAGAAGAACCGCCACCTCATAAAAATGTCACAACTCTTATTTCTTTCAAGGTTGGGATCTGCTGAGAGAACCAGGTTTGTGTCCGTAACATTGGAGACTTGGCAGAAAGTGTCCAAGAGCTGATGTCCATCTGAGGGAGTAAAGCAGCTGCTCTGACCAAGAGGGAAAAACTAACCGACGATCTTCACATCCCCTCTCCCTCCTTTTCCTCTCTTCCTCCTCCCTCGCTCCTCTAGCTGGAAGACAAAACATGGCTATTTCTTCCTCCTGCACTCTGAATTTCTCTCTCTCCCACCCCTCTCCCTCTGTCTCTCCCTCTCTCTCTCTCTTACCACCTCATGCTTTGCCTGCCTCTCTCGCCCCCTCTTAGGCAGGATGTGTGAGTCAATGAGAGAGGAAGTATTGTGGAGAGCAGATAAAGTGGTGGACGGCTGCTAAAATAATACCCAGAGTTCCACACTGTTATTGTTTGACGGGGGAAAAATGCAGAGGTACTTCCTCCTTGTGTGAGTGTGAGTGTGCGTGTATGTGTGCGTGTGCGTGTGTTAACGCACACATGTGTTTGCAGAGCATGAAAAAGAGATTGAAAGAGCAAAGAAAGCAGAGACTGCTGGACAGACAAGGGCTTTTTTTGTCTGACAGGAGAAAAACAAAATGTGGTGAAAGAAGGGGAATGTAAGAGATGATGGGAGGAGAATACAGGAATAATAATAAAAACAATGAGAGTAGAGTTGGTGGATAAAGAGGTCAGAGGCAGAAAATATTCTCCTCATCGCTGAGATGCCTTTCTTTTAGTGTGCACTTCTGCTGCAGGAACATTATCAGAAGAACTAAGGGTTTAACCATTACACCCCACACTGCTGATAAGAAACGTTACTGTCGGGAGGTGGGAGAACCAGAGCTGCTATTCCCAATTCAGACAAAAAAGCAGAGCTACAACGTTACGCACTCACAGGGAAGTAACTAAACAAAAACTTTCTCTGTAGCTCCTGAAGTTGCAGTTGTTGTACTTACTATATTATATAAACTGCAGATTAAAATCAGTAGTGTTTGGGTCTACCTGCCCAGTGACTGCAGAGTGAATGTAAATACTGTAGCTGGTAATGCCTCGTGCAGACTACACGACTCTCAGTGTCGGCTGATGGCCGTGCCGTTCACACTACAGAACTTGAGTCTTGTGACGGGAGTCTTGAAGTCGTTGTGGCGTTCACACTACGTGACTGATCGGTGTCAGGGGGTCACACACTACACGAGCTGACAGTGGCTGCGTCACCCGACCCAGCCACTGAGCTCGCCGACTGGCGAATAGGGCTAAAAATCGTGTAGCGTGAACTAGGCTTAAGTGGTGGTACAATGCGTCTCCTCAGAGCTCCTGATATCATTGTTTTTTGTACATTGTTACTCACAAATAAATATTTAAATCATGTGCTCAACAACCCCTCCCTGGGAAGATAAAAGCATGGCTACTGTTGACTCTCTGAGGAGCCAGACGATAAAGATTCAAACTTTCGACTTTCCTTCACATGTGTGAAAATAAAGTTCTACAAGTTGAATCTTCAAAGTAATCAGAGAGAAAAAAAGATGAGCTATTAATCCTAAACTGAAGTGGAAACTCAGCAAAGATGATTAAGATGCGAGAGTTTCAAACCTACCAGACTCTGCAGGCTGAAGCATCCACTGTCAAACTGATCCCAGTTCAGGGTCCCAGCATCCCGGATACCCAGAGTTCAACTCCAAAGTGTTGAGAGTCTCAGCTCAAGTGAAGTGATCAACAACAAATTAACAACTTCTATATAATCCTCCTTACAATTTATTTAAATAACCCAGGATTTAAATCCTAACACACAGAAGCTGACAAATACATTTAATAAAAAATAATGAAAATAAAAATCGGGCATCCCTGGGGTTTTAAGACACCAAGTGTCCAGCCTATGACCTCATGTTACATGTCATCCTCCCTCTCCTGTTATTTCCTGCGAGGTTTCTGCACGCTACTTAATGAAACCAAGAAATGCTCCAAACATGCTAGAAGAAATGCATAAACTAAGAATTTTAAATTAATTAAATTCTAGCATCAGCAGGCATGTAAGAAAAGCTAAACAAACACTGTATTGTTTTTTACTTTAAAATCTATACAAAAGGAGAAAAAATAAGACGGGCTAAAGCTCTGTTACTTTCTTTATTAATCAACTAATCATTTAGTCTATAAAATTTCAGAATTTTTTTTTTTAAAAAGGCCCAATATAAGATCCAAGAGCTCAGAGTTACTTTGACTTGAGCCTTGTAGAGCAAACATCAGGAAGTGCAAATGTCACAACAATAATGGTGCTGAAGTTTAACCAGCCACATAACAGCAGACACTTAATAACATCAAGCCTTCAAGCAGGCTTCAAAGGATTTCCCAGAGACTTATATCTCCTGCAGACTCCACAGTGTGTGTGTGTGTGTGTGTGTGTGTGTGTGTGTGTGTGTGTTATATGCATGTGAGCAGATTCCTTACATTCCCTATCTTCCCTTCAAAAGGGTGAAGGGTTAAATATGCTATAGCCTAACAACCTCACCTCCTCGCTTCTTGTTAGCCTGCAATCAGGCTTTTTTTGTTTGCTTTAGGGTCCTGTGTCCTGCCCTGTGTGTGCTTGAACGTCTATCTTTGTTAGGAACGATTTGAGTTTTAGACCTTGGGAGTGAGGACATTTTTGGGAAGTGAGGACATTTTGGCCGGTCGTAGCTATTAGACAGATCATCAAAGGGCTGTTTGAGGGTTCAGACTTAGTTTTAAGGTTAAAATAATATAACACTCCTTTAACAACATCCTTATAAAATATATATTACAAAGATGTTGGGTAAAGGTTAGGCATTTAATTGTGATGGTTTAGTTTAGGGTAAGGGGCCAGGGAATGCATTATGACAATGAAGCTCATCACAAGTATAGACAAATACAAACATGTGTGTGTGTGTGTGTGTGTGTGTGTGCGCTCGCTTTCAACCCTGTCTGTTTGCCTTATGGGGCCTCCTCACCCCTTATTATGGATTTCTTAAAGACACACATGTAGAGTTTTTCTCTCTCACACACACACAGTTTTTACATACCAGGTAATCAGTACAGTGAGACTAGGCTCATACCAGAGGTCGATGGCAGGAAGGGTGAAGTCCACTCTAGCATCAGCAGCACAATGCACTGTTTGTTACTGCTCGATCCCCTACATTGTGTGTGTGTCTGTAATCAGTAATCTACTGCTTTTTACTTTATCAAGAAAATTTCAAGTGAGATTTGTTTTTTTAAAGGTGTTTACATGCTTTAATGTAAAAAAAACACCTTATTTTTACAGTTCATTGGTTCAGCACCTCTTTTCACCCTCAGTCTGAATACTCAACACATGCTCACGCCCGACATGTCACATATTGACGCTTGATCAAGATCCTTTGGCATTGCATTTTGACGCCCTGGGTACCTCTTTAGCGTCATTTTAGTTAGCAACAATAACGACGGCGTGGCTCGACGCGGAAGTATAAATTGGCCTTAAGTTTAAGCGCTTAAGTGTCAGTTAGGAGTGAAGGTGCTGAAAGGTGATGAAGAGTCAGTGAGAGTGAAAAAAGTAATAAAGTGCAAGCACAGAAAAAAGTTGAGGTATATGTGAGAAAAGCAGTTGGAAGTGTAATGTAATGAAAGAAGTCAGTTTCAGCTGACGTTATCAGTTACAAGCCAAGAACAACGGCTGGAATAAAGGAAATTAATTTTAGAAAAAAGCAACTTTAAAAAACAAGATTAGCTGTGACACGTTACTCAAACTACTGACCACACATTACTGCTGTTCAGAGAACTGTCCCTTATAAAAATGCATTTCCATCACTGTTGTTTTCCTCACAACGATGTCTATTTAAAATGTCCTGTTTCAATTCAGACAGATTTTCTGCTCTGTTACGTCAGAACTTTCATAAAAACATTCATATCTGTGCGTTTCTTCTAGGGCCACTCTTTTCAAGTCTGTTCTATCAACTTATTTTTTATTAATTAACTTCTTCACACCTCCTTCCTTTAACTTCTGTGTTTTATCACATTAATTTTGAACTTTGAGCTTTGAGCAGCTGAATGTAATCGGCTGGAAGTATGATGGAAAAACATGAAGACAAAAAAAACATTTGCTTACATAAAGGTCAGGCCAGGCGTGATAACACCATTGGAACAATTTGTTTAAATGGTAATAAGCAGGATTTTTATTGCAACACTGGGTAATTTTCAGTAAATACAGTGAACCCGCTCTCTGTTGGCTCTTATGTGATGGACCATAGAAGTAATGCAATGTCTGGGTGCATTTCCAATTTCAAAACAAATTGGATGGAAATGAACTTGCGAAAAGCCTTTCTGTGTTTCAAAACAGTAATTAATTTTGACATACTGTACTCCACTAAGCTGAGCACAGCTGCCAGAAACTGAGCCGAGCCTGAGAACATCACTTTCACTCTGTAAACATCACTGCAGTAAGACCTAGGGTCGTTCATGTTGGGATTTTTTTAATCTGCTTTTAATCATTTGTGCAGCTGTAATTCCTCCTGGCTGACAGTTTATTCAGTCTCCTTCCATCTTTTAACACTGCTTCCCCGGTTGTTGATGGATTAAACATGAGCCTTTCAGAGCAATGTTTAAGACCAGAGAGAAAAGCTACGGTTACTTAGTTGATTTCACATATTGTTACATGCATTTTGTCACAATCAATCAAGTTATATAGTACAGGCCAAAAGGACACACCTTCTCATTCAATGCGTTTCCTTTATTTTCATGACTATTTACATTGTAGATTCTCACTGAAGGCATCAAAACTATGAATGAACACATGTGGAATTATGTACTTAACAAAAAAGTGTGAAATAACTGAAAACATGTCTTGTATTTTAGATTCCTCAAATTAGCCACCCTTTGCTTTTTTGATAGCGCTGCAAAGCCCTGGTGTTCTCTCAGTGAGCTTCATGAGGTAGTCACCTGAAATGGTTTTCACTTCATAGGTGTGCCTTGTCAGGGTTAATTAGTGGAATTTTTTCCCTTATTAATGGGGTTGGGACCATCAGTTGTGTTGTGCAGAAGTCAGGTTGATACACAGCCGACAGCCCTATTGGACAACTGTTAGAAATCATATTATGGCAAGAACCAGCTAAGTAAAGGGAAACGAGTGGCCATCATTACTTTAACAAATGAAGGTCAGTCAGTCCGGAAAATTGCAAAAACTTTGAATGTGTCCCCAAGTGCAGTCGCAAAAACCATCAAGCGCTACAATGAAACTGGCTCACATGAGGA